AGAGAGAGAGAGACTCCAATGTTCCCCCTTACACCGATGATGATATAAAAAGAAAAAAAAAAAAAAAGGAAAATCACGACGTATGGTGGAGCCATTGAATTTAAATCTCGGCGTGAATACGACACGAAATAATAAACGCGCAGATTAATTCCCGGTGGTAGGTAATAAAGCGCGTTCGCGTACGAGCAACATAATGCATACAATAGTGCTCCACAGTCAGGACCAAGAGCGGAGGACTTAAGAGGGCTGCTGTGCGAATTGGAAAGAAAGAGTGGGGGATGAGCGTCAGCTGTTACAGTCGATAGCCAGCCACGTGCGGCGAATTCCAGTATTATTGTTTGCTACATTATTTCATTGCGAAGGAATTTTAACCGTTTAACATTTTATTAAACATTTTAAACAAAACACGTTTGAACTGTTTTGCAATTTAATACACACGTACTTTCAAACTAAACGAAGCAATGAATTGTAACAGTGCGGTAATTATCAAATAATTGTAATTAATCTAGATCTCTCGGTATATTCGTTGAAATTCTTATGTAAAAGTAGTTGTTAATTAATAATTATCGATAGTTAAATGGAAACCTTGGATAATGGTCTTGTTATATTTTCATCAATAGTAAATTAACAATACACCTAGTATACATAGCATACATTAGTACACATAGTATAGAACAGTACAATAGAACACACATAGATGATATTATACTCGTATTGATACACATAAATTGGATATTTGTTATTTAATAGAAAATTTGCCTTCGATCGATATGTGCCAGAAATGACCATAATGTGCCGAAATATCGATGTCACGCATTTCATGTTTCACGCACTGGCGCACGGTAAGGTAGAGTGGAGTGGGGATAGTCCCAAGTCTCTCAAGGATTGGTGGGGATAGCGCTCGAAGTTTAAAAAGACACTATGGGCAAAACGTGGTTCAAGAAACGGAAATTAAGCAACACGCCGTTTGGTTCGTTGAACGAATTCGTTTGCAATGAATGCGTGAAAAATTGCCTGCGAGAAAGAAGCGGCGGGCAAATATGTATTTTATCGGCGAGGGTGTCTGAAAAGCTGGGCAAACAGAGAAACACGGGCACGCGTTGGAAGTTAACGAGAATTGGCCGGGGCCAAGTTTGACGCATGAAAGAAAGTA